TACAATTATCAAAAGTACAAACTTTTGAGCATGTAACCATCATGCCATTGTTGAATCGCAGATGTAGAACAGCCTCACAGTGATGTATCAGCGTATTCACCATTTCACCAGAGCCAACGTCCCATACTCGGACTGTTGAGTCACTTGACCCACTGATGATCACTTTATCATCATACTGCAGACACAGTACTGAACCTGTGTGCCCTGTCAGTACCTGAAAAAAAGTGTCATATGTAAATGCTTTACCCAAATATAATCTTTTGGGTATGTTTGATGTTTGTCATAAAATCCTTCTACGGAGAGATTTTACTGAGCACCCAAGCAAATCACAGAACACACTACAAAGTGCAAGGTGCCAGGAACGTGAGCAGAGAAATGGATACCATTTCAAGAATTTGCTATGATCAGGGTAAGCTTTATTTTTAAAGTGTTTAAGTTGAAGGTTTGTCAGTTTCTCTCCGTAGGTCACATGGTGGCAGGACTCTTCTACCCGAGATGTTCAAAGATTAGAGGGGATGACCAAAAATATCTTATTGCAATTCTAAATACCCCCACAACTGTAACAAACTTTTGAAAACCATTCTTACATGTTATTAACAAAACATGATTTTGTGTTATGTCATACAAATTAGAAATGAGACTTCACTCGAAAGCCTAATTAATGTTTCTTTACGAAGACACCTGTCTCCTGGGTTGTACATCATGTAGTCTGGTAGAATTTTACTGATGTTTCTGAGATGCTTGCTGCTTGCTTGCTTGCTTGCTCCATTTTTCTAGTGTGCTTGGTTTCCCAGGATTTGAACAAAGGACAGATATTGTTAAGGTTGTGTCCTTAGTTCCCATAATCTCTGCACTGAAACAAACTACTCTGGTCTGGAGGGAGAGATCTGTGAGTCATAGCAACTGTTAGCCAAACATAATAGGTACAGCATTATGGCCAGTAATACAAACAATAAGGCCAAAAAACCCTTAACTGGATTACCACAGCAACTATTATACAAATTATTTAAGCACAAGCATGGCAGACATCATCTATTATACTGCAGGACAACAAATGATATCCAATCTTCTTTTAATTCACTTTTAGTATAGCCTACATTGACTATCAGAATGTCCCAAACTGGACACACGGAGAACTACAGAACAATTTGTACACATACCTTAGTACACTGCAGCGTGTTGCGATCCCAGATTTTGATGGTGTTGTCCCTGAGACCAGACACAATCTTTTGGTCATCATACTGCAGACAGTAAACTCCTTTAGAATTTTCCGACCTGCAGTTAATTCTCTGCAGGACATGTCTTCCCATTCTCCAATTATTTTCTATACTCTGAAACATGTAACATTTGAAGTTGTAACACTGTTCTTTACCTTGTTTAGGTCTTTTAGGGCTTTAAGTGTAGTTACTTTCAGGTACCATAGTTAATTTATTTCTTTTTATTCTTTCTTGGCTCTGCAACCCATTTGTGGGTCTTCGCCACCTCCTTTTTTGGAGGTTTTCCTAGTCTATGAAGTGTGCAATTAATTTATTTGCTTAACATAAATACATAAGGGGAAGTCATGGCCCGAAAATGGACCGAAGCACCATAGATGACGATAAATACATAAATTTTCAGTCCACTCAAAACGACTGGACAAAATATATCAAATATTTACCAGCATTCTGATTAATACAATTAACCTTATTTAGGACCGACAGTGACAAAACAAAACTATGGTTGAGGAAGACAAAGAAGACAGATCTCTCATATTAAGACAAGACAGAACAGAATAGGTAGGCGTGTGGGTAAATAACTCTATGGAGCAGAGCGCTTCTTGAAAAGCAAATAGTACAATCAGATAATTAAGAAACTCCCTGCAAGTAATTCACTGACTAGCTGAATGAATATCAGCTCCATGGACATTATGTTTAACTAATGCCTTCCACATTAGATACAAGAGCATTAAGCAGATACTTCCTAATAAAAATCATGATACATGCATTCTGTGTACAATTACAACCATATGTTCTGTCTCAAATTACAGATGTGCAGTCTGTAATTTATTCAAGTCTGTAGGTTTTGTCTTGATTTCTAATCCTCAGAGAATGGTAAAACTTTTAGGAATAGTACCACCAGACCCTGAATGACACTCTATATAACAGCTGATGTTTTAAACTTTGATTACCAAGGTTAGAAATCTGTGCCTTAATATGAAATAACTTCAACTTACATCTATATCTTGAATGATTTTGGGAAACAATGTTCTGTAGAATGAATGATTAGGATGACTTTCTCCTGGCTTTGGTTTGAATAAATATTGTATCCTGTAAAAAACAGGTAAAACCAGTAAGTTATACAACATATAATTTTTATGATAGATCACTTTATATATAGATGAGAATTTAACAGTTTTTTAAACATTAATGGCATCAGCTTCCAGAAATACTTAACAACATATCACATCCACTACACACAGAACAACAATTTTATAAGCAAACTGTAAAATGTAAGAAAGTGCACAGCAGCGAAACAATACAAAGTACGTTACATACTTCCTTCCTCAAACATGGCTGTAAAAGGAAAATATTTTAAATTCACTGCATCTTGAGTTACAATTGAAGGAAGACCGAAAGAAACAAGAGAAAGCCAATATTTCAGATTGTTAAAATATTCTCTTTCTAGTATATCAATGAACACTCACCTGAAAATGAACAAGATCTGTCATATATATACTTACACATGTCTTTCAGTTGCACTATGAGCGCGAATTAAGATCAATATGAAGAGTATGCCCATAACAAAATAATCATTGATGCAAATATGAAAGTAAGACTTCAGAAAACTCTGTGCTCTAAACTGTAGTTGATATTATACATTAAGTTCTAAGAAATTGTCCTGGTGTAGCAACAAATTACATAAAATCAGAAAGGTGAAAAACAATTCTACGTTCTTACCAGCCTCGCCGTTCTGCAAGACCTCTCCACAGTGAGTCTGTCCTAACTTTCCTTTCTATTAATTTCTTCCACAGCATTCCCTCTGAGATAACTCGATACCATTCCTTGCATACTAATTCAGACGCACAAAGGGAATCAGCATCAAGGTATGAGAGAATACTTTCTGCTACATGGTCCAAACCTTTCTCTGTCACAAACAATATATGCCACCATTAATTCTATTCATATGAAGATTACTTACAACTATTACTAATAAAAGTTAAAATTTTACAAGGCAGTACAGTAAAACCTCGTCTGAACCATATCATACGATACGTAATCTGGTGAAAGGTGATAATACAGATTGCAAAAGTAATAATAAATATGTAACAATTTCTGTACATTATTTATACTACCATACATGAATATTCAACAGTAATTTTAAGTAATTTTTCATTATTTCTGCTTATATCCAACACACTTGCAAAATATTGGCACAAGTAATTATTTGAGACTGACATCAAGAGATATTCACTATGGTTATCAAACATCTGAGCAAATATGACCACGCAATACTGACTGGGTTAGAACAGACCACATTATATAATACCTGGATTAACAGGACCCAGATTAGTAAGGATTTATTGGTCTTGTTTTCAACAATGTTCTGACTGCTGATCCAGAAATCAAACGCTAATATAGTATTACCACAATACAGGGCAACGTCCAGACTTACAATTTTCCTTTTGCTTTTCTTGTTTACTACAATTCATGAGTAAACTTACAGCACATCCTATTACCATTAAATAGTTCATACAAGAAAAGTTTTTCATAAAAAATAGCTGGTGTCCTTTACCTGAGAAGGGTGACGGCAATTAATCGAAGTTTGAATGCAAATGCACTGAATATAAAGCTAAGCAGATAACTGTCACATACTTGGTAAGAGCGAAATAAAATCCCTCTGGAGCATAGGTTTGAGGTAAGAGTTGATGTGACCATGTTGGTAATGGCACATGCGTGATAGTAGATGTTCTACAAATTCCACCTGGTCCTGTTCGCTCCATCTCTCAAAGTACTTCAGACATGTTTCACGTTCTGTCACATACTGGGGTGAAGGTTCTTTCTTCCTTGCAGGGTCATACAGGATTGTCATTGGGTACTGCAAAAAAAAATATTAAGATACTTGAACAGAAAATTCCCATATATTAACCCCCTGAAGGTCTACATTCAAAGTCAAAAATTCTACAATATACTTTTAAATAGTTCGTAAATAACTGTTCCTTTGGAATTCCGCATTTTTTAATTAACAATACGGTTAAATTTGGGCTAAGTACAAAAAGCCCAGGACAACAGTAACTACACCCCTGGTTTTCGTAAATTACGAAATATACCAGAAAAATACGGACCTAGTATAGATTTAAATCTCGATTAAGATCAATGTATTCCTTTCGGAAAAGAAACACGAGCAGGCAAACACATCTCCATTATGCATTAATATCATGCACATACTGCAAAGCACTTTTCATATAAAAGACTCACACGGTATCTAAAAGAAACTTTTTCTCACGCGTTTGTTCATTAGATCTTAAAAAGGTTCCCTGCAATGCATTAGTTACTGTCTACTTCCACAGTGACTGGCCAACTTGCGACATTACATTCTTTTGCCGCATAGCTGACGGAGATAAAATGGGAAACAACAATTGACTAAAACTTGCAATCAAAAGGTGCTGAATTGTCTTCCGTCCACTCAAAATATAACAGTAGACTGGCAGTATTTGCCTTTCATGTGCGTTGGCCCTGAACAAGCAGCATATTATCATACTCTGGGTTCAAAGTTCGGGTCTTCATCTTTGACCCGGCACTTGGCTGTTCTCAGAGTAAAGGTAATTCAGTTTACAACAACAAGAGAAGCGATTATTTAAATTAATTCTGCAAGATGCAACAGTAGATACAACTGCACCAACACTTATTTGCCATGCAGATAATGGCTTCATAATGTAGTTTTCTGCTTACAAACTAACAAACAAGACTGCACTGGCGTATCTTAGCACAGGTTTTTAGCCAATCGTACACGTAAATATTAATTTTTAAGGAGATAAGTGACGTTCTTTCAATCCGTGTGTCTGATTCATAGTTCTAAAACAGCTAGGAATCAGTTCTACGTTAGCAAGATGCAAGCAATGATACCAAACGTTGCAAGACGTTCAACAAAAACCGGAATGGTATGTTCCACAGCCCACTGATCTGAACATCCTAACTACCGGAAACTACAGGCCGCTCCGCCAGCATTTGTTGAGTTTCCTTCATCAAAGCTCTGAAGATTCAGGCTGACCTCAATATTATTTTAAACCCCAGTTCCTATTTCAAATAAAACACAATGTGTCTCCATTAGAACATCAACTGGTTAATGGTGTAGAGGGGAACAATTGCAGTTTATTCTGAGAATCAAACAAAACTCATATATATGGTAAAAATGCAGTTACCGGATGTTGGAATACGTGGTACATGCAGATGTCACTGTGCTTTAACGCGATAAGATCGTAATTAATGAAGACAGGAAACTAAATTCACGTAGAATCAAATTATGTAGCACTACCAACACGACGAATTCCAACACACAACTAAGTTCCTACCGAATATGGCTACAAGACTGATTACTTCGATACTGCGTGAATTATCATAAGGGAACTAGGTACTTGGGAGGGAAGAGTCCCCCTGGTCCACTTCTCCTGTAATGACCAAGTAAAACATAGTCGGGTTTGTTGGGTTTTTGGACTTTGTCCATCGCCCAATGAGTAGAGAGTAGAGTAGAGTTTATTTACATTCCATAGATCTTTCTTAGGACTCAACCAAAGGATGTAGAACATGTCATTTCATACAATGTACACACACTTCAAAACTTTCAACACAAGTACAAGAACGTATTTCACATATCAATGTACATAAATTTCAGATTCTGCAATACAAGTATGAAAAATAATTTTACAAATTAATATACATAAACCTCAGCATTTTAAATATAAATACAAAACTTGCTTTACATATACGTAGATTATGGATATAAAGCTTAAACATTTTCAGCAGAGATGAAATCATCTACAGAATAGAAGGAGTGAGTAAAGAGGTAATCTTTCAATGCAGGCTTGAATACCTTTATATCATAATTTAGACTTTTAATTGTTGGTGGAAGATTATTAAACAACTTGATACCTGTATAGTACACTCCTTTCTGATATTTAGTAAAGTTAGCATTTGGCACATATAGATCATGTTTACGTCTTGTATTTAAATTATGTACATCTGTATTTCTTTTAAATTTATCCATGTTTTCCACTACAAATGATAGCAAGCAGAGTATAAATTCACTTGCAAGTGAAAGTATATTAAATTTACGAAATAATTTTCTGCAAGATACCCTGCTTTTGACACCGGCCATTATTCTAATTATTTTCTTTTGCATGTAAAAAACTTTATTACTGTCTGTTGAATTTCCCCGAAAGATTAATCCATATGACAATACAGAGTGAAAGTAAGCAAAGTAAACTAGCCAAAATGTGTACGACGTTTCGAAAACCGGATGTTTCCGTCTTCAGGTGTATGGGACAGGGGCACCTACTCTGTTGTGTCCGATAGAAAGAGCTAGTCTCAAAAATATTTTAAAAAGATACCTCCCGAACACACGTCATACCCAACTGAAGGGCCAAATCTGACGGGTGACGAACTCCACGTACGCAAACGAACATTTATAATCAAAACTTACAGCAAAGTGCCCTTATCTGTTCAGAGCGACATTTTCTACAACTCGTTATAAAACAAGTCGACTCTGCCGATTATGGTCTACCGGGTTGTAACAACGCGTGCACTTGATAGATACCAACGTTTCGGGAGAAAAATACTCTCTCCACCTTCAGGGCTGGTATGGAGACAATTCCATTTTTCTGTCTGGACTGACGCCGTGTGGACTTGCACGTACATACCGACCTACACCGCCGTGTGAACCTCGCATCTCGCACAGTTTACTGTTTGGTTATTCAACTGCTGTTTAAAGAAGATGGCCATAAATGGTCAGAAATAATACGGGTCGAACTGCTCCCCGTATCGGTTCAAACATAATAATTAGAAGCAGAATGGTGGATTCAGCACTGCAAGCAAGAGTTCGAGCTTTAAAATGTGCAGAATTTAACATTCCAGTTTTAATAAACCAACAAACGAAAACAAAACTGATTACGGTATTAAGCTTCCTGCCTAGAAGTTCAAAAATATCATGAGCTAATTTCTAAAATGCTACGCTACTTAGGCCTACACTGGCAACTCGGAAGAGTTCTTTGTTTTATATAAATATGATCATCGCTTTGTAGGCAAACCTCATCCCCACGCATTGCAATATGCGAGTGAAGACTCCATTAACATATTATAAAGAAACTGCCATTGTTTCGCTGCAGGTGCGTGGCCCATTTCCCATAAAACCGGTAGCCGTGAATACAATAGTAAGAAACACGAATCTCTAATGATATTTGAGGAAAAATAGAATGAAGACTCAATTTCATGACGTACAACTCTCACTTTCGTACCAGACGGGACACACGCGAGAAAGGATTCGACATCGTGACAGCGCCAAAACAAGATAACTCACACGGAAAAGAAAACGTATTTATAAACAAAGCGGTAAACATTAATTAAGACAATAAAAATGCTTATAAATTTGTAAATGAAAGTATTTTTCTTTAATTTTTTCGTCTATTAGTCACATTTAAGACATGTCAATAATGAAAATTATTCCTTATTCCTTGACATCACGGAAAATTAAAATTAATTCTGCTCGCGGCGAGCGTAAGCCTCAACTTGCTGACCAGCCCGATGGGGCGTCATTTTTATCGGACGATTTATTCAAACCATTTTACGTTTAACTGTATTAATCACCTGAACCATAAGAGTCTATATCAAATACCATTCCTGCATGAACAGTGCAGGAGCTATAATTTAATCTGGATAATTCGGGCAGTATTCTTCCTCGCCAGCTACAAGCAAGTACGAAGTGCACTCTCTTAAAGCGCCGTTACCTTGCACGTACTTTGAGCCAGACATAACGGAAATTGTACTTTACTCAGTTACAAAAGGAACAGCAACTGCTGGTACAAGATACTTACTCAAAATCGTGGCACACAGAATGTAACCATGTGTTCAATATTCTTTCACAACTATAAAGCATCAAGAGTAAATAAAAATCGATGAGTAACGAGTAATATCGAACGAAAAGAACCGATACTCATCTACAAACACAGTCACTAGAGACTCAGGTTCGAAGCCTGAATCTGTACCCACTAACTGACGGCACGATATTTCTCTAATCTGAACCTGTTACTTCGAAGACGTCACGGACATAAATTACCTGTCCAATCCATGAAGCTCCTCGTTGCGGAGTTTAACCACTACCTTCTTAGGGCCACATGGTCTGATCGGGACTTACTAACGACACGTAATGTCCAAAAATTGGGAGGAAAAATATGTACCTAGCAACAAAACTTAGAAAAGTAAATCCTACACACATTTTTAACACCCTGTGATTTACAGTGCCAATTCAACAATTTATTTACTTTCTTTAAAACAGGTTGCTGTAACGAAAAAGTTTGTCTTAAAATATTTTTCTCTCCTAGTTATCGTTTAGTAGATGTGAATTCCCCAGCAATGTTTACAGGACTACTCCGAAACTCGAAATGCTTACAAATTGTGGTAAATTGTACACCTGCACTGGGTTTAAGATCTCAATTCTACACAGACGTGCTTCAAAATGGCACGTAGATCATTTGCGAATTATGCAATTCTTGCTAGCACACAAATGTCGCATTTCTTTATCGTCGTGCTGAAAGTTTCTTGGAAACTGTCAAAATATTAATTTCCTCCTTATATCGATACAAATAAAAATTACCTCAGATTTATTTTTGTTTAAAAGCGTCATAAACGCAAGGAACATACAACTATTTTGCTCATATTACAGCACAGGTACAAAAATACTGACTTATCCTTCATCTAGACATTCTTTGAAGAACTCGAAGGTTAAAGGTGTTCTCCCTAAGACGAAACTTGGCCAAGAGAACAAGGACACTACTTTTCGACGAATAATCCGCTGGTGTTCGCACACCCGAGATGCGTTAACGCAAC